CAGAATGTTTAAAAGCTTATCGGTATCAAAGGTTTTAAAAAAAATCGGTATTTATCGGTATTTACTATTTTAATTAATTCTATATTGTTGCCGTTTTTGAAAGCGAAATTTTAACTTTTGGACTATGATCGGAAAATTCCGGAAGAAAGCTTCGGGGAATGTTTGAATTAGCTTCTGGAGGAAGCTGAAAACAACATCCAGAGAAAGAAGAAAGAGAGAAGTCGGAAAAACATCCGCGGAACTACTAAGACATAAATTTAGAAACTTCTGGCGAAAATTTAAAGAAACTTTCAGAAAAAAATCAGATTTCACATTCAAAGGAAGAGAGACAAGTTTCGGAAATCGTAAGTAAATTCCAGAAATAGCCATTTACAGGTGAAGCCAGAAGAAGCTCCAAAAAACCTTCCAAGTAAAAAAAAAAAAAAACTGGGCAAAATTCCAGAACTAGGCGAAAAAAATTTCTGGGAGGAGTTTAATTGAACTGCCTGGAGAAGACGAAAGAAACTTCCTGGAGACGCTGGCAGAAACTTTCTAATGTAGATTAGAAAAAAATTCTGGTGGAAGTCGGAAGCCAGAGCGCTAACGGAACAGTCGAAAAAAACAAGGGATGTTCTATTGATCCAGAAAATTTTCCAAATGGTCATAAAACATCCCTGAAGACCCCGCAATGCCCCTGAAGTTTTTGGAACATTCCCGAAATGTACTTAGGCATATTACATATTTCCTCGTAATTCCTTAAAAGTTCTTGTAATTTTCTTAAAATTATTAAGGCTGTTTTGGAGTACTCTGATCATCTTTGAAATACTTGGAACTTCCCTGATTATAATGGGACTACCGGAATATATCTAATCAATTTTGAAGGTCTCTAGACTTTCTTGAAGATTACGAAATTTTTAAAGCGCTATCACAACTTTCTTGAATTTATTGTAACATCAGTATTGAAGTTCTCTGATCTTCCCGATTTTTCTAATTTTTTAAAGTTATCCACATTGCCATTAATAAGCAAGGAACTTCCCATAAAATGTTCTCACAATGTGCTAATGTTCGTGTAACTTCCCTTACGTTTCTTAAATTTGCATGAGCCCCTCGGAACATTGCTGAAGTTATCGGAAATAGCCTGAGTTGGAACTCCTTTAAAATTTCAGCAATTTCTGAAATTGCTGAAATTTTAAAGGAGTTCCAACTCAGGCTATTTCCGAAAACTTCAGCAATGTTCCGTGGAACTCATGCAAATTTAAGAAACGTAAGGGATCTTTCCTGATGTCTAAAGTTCTCTCAATTCTCCTAAAACTTATGGAACTGTCTTGAAAACCATTACATTTTCCAGAAGTTCTTTGGACTTGTGAAGCATCCAAAATATTTATGATGTTTCCTTAAGTTCACTGGAGTTCGCTGGACCGGGTTTTAGAATTTTAACAGAAGTTATTGAAACATTCTTTAATTTATCGAAACTTACTCAAAAGTTTGAACTTTTCCGAAGTTTCAGAACTGCTTAAAAGTGCCTGCAGCTAGTGTGGATCCGCAATCAAAATCTGGAAGCATCCCTGAAGTTCCGGGAAAGTTGACAAAACTGGCGGGAGAAGATGGAAGAATCATTCGAGCGAAGACTGAAGAAGCTTCCAAGGCAACTCGAAATAAGTTTCCGAGAGGAATCGTAGAATAATTTACGATGTAAGGTGGAAGAAAATCCAGGATGTTAAATAGGGTTTAAAAACTACAAGGGACAGCCTTATGGGGTTGTACGCAATGATGACGTAGGAGATTACGTGGTCTTATATAATAAATCTTATTTGCTAACTGAAGCCTGTGTTTTGTGTAGGAATAGGAATTTGAGTGGAGTTCTCTCTGTTTATTCTCTTTGGTATGACGCGCTTGACATAGATGGCCCACAGCGACTCACGAAGAGCTACTGATTCCGATCAAAAGCGGTGCGGTTTCTTCATCCTTCTATGGATGCTCATGTGGTCTGCAGCTCGCTGCTTGCAGGCAGCCTTTCGTTGTGTACTGGAGAACACCACCACTCACAACGCGGTGATTGAATAAACACCGTTTGGTGAGACCGGATGGAATTCATCTTTGAAATCTGTGTTAGGGAAATCGCTTTTCGCAGGCAATCGGTGATAATTTTAACTATCCTAGAAACAGTTGCGAAACAGTCGTGCAATTTTCAATAGTGACATTTTGAGAAATAAAAATATAATGTTTTAAATTCTACAGATGCGTAGAAATATTTCTGATCGATTGGTGATAAAATTATTGAAATTGGTTCAGAGGCAGCTGAGTTATTAACGTTCAAAATCTTTCATAATTTTGTTACATGTTCTAGTTTTCGGTTTTCACAAAATGTACCCCCATATAGAAATCACAGACGTAGTCCTACGTCAAAAGTGTTTCCCGATTCCCCCGGAATTGCCAGAAAGAGCCATCGACTGTTTATCGATTCATGGGTAGCCAAAAACGGGGAGGAAATTGAAACATTAATCAAAAGAGTAACCACTTTTAATGAAGTTTTTTTTTTTATTTTAAAGACTCAAACAATTTGTGATATTCAAAAAGATACAAGTCTCTCCCAATAATTTTCTCCGAAGTTCAAGCGCGGGCAGACAATAATCATTTTGATTATTTAAAAAAATCGGTTAAATCGGTATAAAACCTCAAAAATGGGTATTCTGAGGAACCTTATCTGTATATCGGTATCTAGTTCGGAAATCAGTATAAATCGGTATATCTGGCAACGCTGTTCCAAGACCCATGACTACAACCAGCTGGCAGAAATTTGACAGCTATTTGTTGACATATAATTGCGCATAATGTGGTCAAGCACAGTGGTCCAAGAATGACAGTTAGGGGTAAATAAATATGCAGACCCATAAATTGCTACTTTAGTGTCTTCTGTAAAGTTGTTGCTTATAAAAAGGCCTTCATTTTGATGAAAGTTGCAAATAGGGTGGTCCTAAAAATGACGAAGTAAGAAATTAAAATTACTACTTTTGATCACAGCATCCCAAGTAACATTGCATGTTTTATCGAGGTTTTAAAGCAGTTTTGAGACGAACTTCTAACCGAGATTTGAAGAAAATGATGCGATAAATTCCAGATTTTTCAAGCTTAGCATGGACCCTATTTTCTCGAGGTTCTAGAAGAAAATATTATCAAAATATTGTTCCACGGCAAGTGGTAGGAAACGTCATTTCAACCTGCTCGAATGATGTGATCCATTCAGAACCAATAAATCGTACAATTCGAGCAGTTTAAAATGACGTTTCCTACCACTCGACGAACTTTGCCGTGGAACAATATTTTGATATTTTTTCTACTAAAACCTCGAGAAAATAGATATAATAATAATAAATAAGATCATGCTCAGCTTGAAAAATCCTGGTATTTATTGATTAATATTCATAAAACCACTAGTATAAGGTCGTCCCAAAACTGCTAAATTTGAAAAAAACATCGCTTGCAAGATTTGGAGCCAACGTAAACCAGGCAACGGGCTATAAACATTTGTGTGTTTGGCTGTTAGTTAGATTTTTTATTATTATTCCATAATCAATAAATGACACAATAGTGAAATATCTATGCGGCATATTTTCCACTGTAAATCGAGCTTTCGATTCAAAGTGTTTTATGTTACTTCATACACGAAGTTTGCGATTTTCAGAGTTGGTTGGAAATGCTATCTAACATGAAGCTTTAGTGTGATAATTTATTAGCTAGAGAATGGTCCTATAAGAGGGTAGATAATGGTCTTAGGTAGTGATGAAACGTCGCTAGAACTATTCCACAACCGCAGGCAGTATTTGAGCAAAGGCGGACGCACTCTTTTTGCCTGTAGATTTGAAGACATACTTCAAATCTCCGCGTACATCGTACTAGTTAAGCAAAGAGTGTGCGCACTGTCGCATTAATGACCCTTCGCTCATTTTCAACTTCTATTCAATTTTCATACTGCCGTACTCTGACGGAACTAACTACCTACCCTCTTCTAAGACCATTATCTAGCTAATAAATTATCACACTAAAGCATTTCCAACCAACTCTAGAATTCGATGTTTTCTTTTCGTACATGGCCGTAGCATCTGACCGAAATTTGAGTTCCGTTTACTCACTTTCGCTAAAATCACGATGACTCATAGACTTAGTGAAAATCTGCTCAAATTTGCGAAATGTCACTCATATTCGACCAAATATTGCTCCTCGATTGAGTGTAACTGTTCAAGTAAAAACCCGTATCAGGAAGATCCTCATCTGTTCATCTGTTCATCATTTGTGATTTACGATTGAATAGGTAATCATTCGACTAGCCCAACTCAATCACCACCCCAAGACTTGGAGGTGCCAAGTCGCTTTGACTCGTTCTCGTAATCGTAGCTGATCAGCAATGTCCCCAGCTATATGCAATCAATTATTCCCCCCGCTAACAATAGAGCCGACAACCCTTGTGTTCAAAAATAAATCGATCCGAGAGATCGAAAGCCACCCGCCGGTGGTGGCGGGCGTCCGTCGCCAAGAGAGGCGTCTATTAATTCGAGTAATTTCGAAATTGTTTCTCACGGATTCGCCAGCAGAGGGTAGCGAAAAGCCAATGGGCAAGTAAATTAAATGTAATAACACCGGTTTTTCTGCACGAAAGCAAACAAACAAAAAACACTAAAGAAGCGAATCGATCGGAAACACAGTAGCTACCGCGGCCGAGAGCCGCGTTACTGACAGCTACTGTGGCCCCCTTTTTCGCAAACACCCCATCATCATCATCATCATCATTGTATCGATATTGATAGGTAATAGGCCGGGAATTAGAACAACACTCAAAGCGCATACACACACACACACACACACTCAGATGCAAAACTGGCACATCATGCTGTTATCGAAATGGCGAGAGTCAAAGCGGTAGAGTAAGCGAATGTGGTGGGCGGAGGGTTGTTGGGACGGCAGGCGGGTTTCGGACTACGGAAGCGGATTGGACAGCGGGTAAGCTCAAAAAACTCAAGCGCTACCTCCGTGTCGTCGGTACTGGTGGTGGTGGTGCTGGTGGTCGTGGTGACCGTACTAGGACCAGGCGAGCAGGAATCCGTCGAGTCCGACGTGGGGAAAGCGGCCGCGTAGACTTCCTCGTCCAGGAGGTACTGCTCCGTTCCGAGACCGGTCCCGCTGGGATCGACCCCGGCAGCGCCGTCCGTTTCCAGGAAGATGTCCGCACTGGCTTTGAATATCCGAGGAACATCGGACGATTTTTTGAAGGGCTGCTTATGCTGCAGGGGTGTACTGCTGCTGGAAGGTTCTCCGGCCCGCGTCGAAGCGGACTTGGATGAGGTGGATGGCATGAAGTACTGATCCAGACAGTGACTGTAGAGACCTTCTTCCGGTTCGTCGTCTTCGTGTTCTCCGTCGGCCTCGGCGTCCGCATCTGCGTCTTCGTCCAGGTAGTTGAGATCGTACTCATCGTCATCATCGTCGTCGTCGTCAACGTCCGAAGCACCCGGCACAACCGTATCTTCGTCGTCCGGTTCGTCTCCGTAGGAGGCGATTTGTGTGGCGGACTTGGACAGAGTGATGCCCTTGGCCGGGACGTACGTCGGAGTTACCTGGACGGTGGAGTTGAAGACCGAAGTCACCGGAATGGGTTCGATCTTGCCACTTTGGCTGATGGCAACGTTGCAACTGTTGGAGTTGGAGCGGGTTAGAGCGGTGGTGGTAGAGCTGGGTTGTTCGCACAGCGACCGGCTGGGGGTGAAGTTCTTGGCGTCCGGATTGAGACGGGAGTGCGAATAGCTTTTGAACACCCCGCTCGGGGCGGCAACGTTGTAGATATCCGCTATGCTCTGTTCGATGTTGTCTTCGATGTTGATGATGCAGGAGTCTTGCTGGTTGTTGTTTAGATCGCGGGGAGCGTTGGGGAAGGCCGGCGGCAGGTGCCCATTGATGGGAATTTGGATGGAGGAGATTTTCGTAAAGGGCGGATAGTCGACGATGACCTTGTTGGCCGGTGGGATGTGTTGCTTGACGAAGAAGCTTTCGCCGGTTCCCTTGCGCGGTGGGTGTCCACTGCCGAAGGGATTGAACGATGCGCTCTTCTTTATCAGGGCGTTGTTCTTGGAGATCATTTTGTTGGTGGCACTGATGTCGTTCGGGGGCAGCGATTCCGGCACGATGGCTTTGTAGGGCGTGAAGAGGTTGTATTTTTTGCTATTGGGTTGGTTCAAGGCTTTGGTGTAGATACAGGACGAGGAGGAACTTTTCGGCAGGTTTAGGGATGGGATAAAGGCCGCTACGTCCGGGAGGGTGATCGAGGGTCTTCGGAGGATGGAGCTGTTGGAGGAACTCTTGGAAAGGTTCGTGGGGGTTTGACTGGACGAGGATGGGAGGGGTCTTGGGGGAAGAAGGAACGGCTGCCCGAAGCTCATCGCACCGCTGGAGAAGCTTTTGCACAGCGGGTTCACAAAGTTGCACGAGTGATTGCTGTAGAAGTTCGGTTTGGATTCGCTCTCGCTGACCAACCTTTGGAACTCCTCTTCCGTCAAGTGATCCCGGATGTGTTTATCCAGGTGCGAGTAGGAATAGTTTTTCCGCAGCTTGAAATGATTGCTGGCTTCCGGGATGTGACCGTCCGGGCTACCGTACAGGTTATGCATACTAGTAACGTTCTTTTTGTACTCGTTGATGCTATTCTGGACGTCCGTCTTGGTCTTGGCCATGATGCGGTCATAGTTCCAGCCGAACTTGAGCACGCCGGACGGTTTGCTGGAGGTGGTTTCCTGCCAGAACTTGCTCATGCTAGACTGCTTGGGAGCGTCGTCGGTCGAGGAGCCCTTGCCGTCGCTCGGCGTGGCCCGGTTCTTAACGTACCTGTTCTCGATCGAAGCACGCGGTAGCATGGAGTGCGAGTTGCTTCGAGATAATTTATCAACCTGCTGCTGATGGTGATGATGGTGATTCTGGTGCTGGTGGTGGTGGTGGTGATGGTGATTGTGCTGTTGATGCGGCGGGAGTTGATTACTGTGACCGTGATGGTGACTGCCATGCTGGAACGGTTGCGACGGGAAGTGATGAACCGGTTGTTGCTGATGGGGATGGTGGTGGTAGTACGTGGGATGACCTCCCGTGGTGTTGCTCCCGCCGCCACCGGACGAGGACGAGGAGACGGCAGACGGGATCGAGGTGTACGCGTGATACGAACTGGACTTGGCGATCGGGTAGTAGCCTTGCATCGCCGTTGCACTGTCGTAATATTGCAAGTAGGGGTCATTGACGTAATGGTGCCGGTAGTTTTCACTCTTGACGTGCGGAGGAACCACGGCAGTCGCATTGCTGACGACGCAGGTCGATTGAGGAGCCACCACAAGCGCCGCCGCCACCGCGCTGGAACTCGGACAAGCCACCACCGCGTAGTCGGGTAAGCTTTTTAAATAATTGTTCATGAAATCGATATCGGCATTATACATATCATTATGCTGCTGGTGCTGCTGCTGCTGCACGGCTGATTGATGATACTGAGAGGCTGCTGCAGGTTGTTGCGATTGTTGCTGAAGCTGCTGCTGATGCAACTGCTGCGATGCACTTAAATCAATTAACTCACCACCATCACCGACGCCGACGCCACCGTAATAGGTACCGTTGTAATTAACATGACTTCCTCCGAGTAGATTCGTATACACTAGGCCCCCCTCGTCGGGGTTGCCGCCACCACTAGCAGCAGCGATCATGACATTTTCAAAGTTCCTTATCGGCGGTATCGGCGGACTAGTCAACATTGGCTGCTGCTGCTGCTGCTGCTGGTATAACTGTTGCTGCTGATAATTACTTTCACTAGTCACTAGTTGCTGCTGCAGTGGTTGTTGTTGTTGTTGATGGTGATAGGCCGCCATCGTCGTCGTAGGCCCTTTCACACTTGAACCGTAGTAGCTTTCACTGTTCATCGTTTCGCCGTCACGAGTGTCAACTTCATCTTTAGTCTCAATCTAGAACAAACGGACCATATGGGGAGGAAATTCGGAGGTACACACACACACTCTACTTCCGGGTCAGCCGGAAGATTAGTCACTGATGGCAGAGATTAGCGAAACTCGACGGATCAGACCACACACGTAGGGCAGATTTTTCGGTACATACAATTGGGCAAAAGTACGAAGTAGTCACGGACCACAGATAGAGAAACATTTACTTGAACAGGCGGCAGAAAGCGTCTCACTGGCTATTGACGAAATGAAACGATCGCCGAATGACGTTCATTAGGAGACACCACCAAACCAATGTGAGGAGGAACGACATATTTTGGGAGATGAACAACAACAACAACAACAACGGTCCAATCGAATCGGATGGAAGGGAGGAAAAGAAGGAGGAAGAGTTTGTTTTTGTTGTGATTGTTGTTGGCCGTCCCAATCGGGGCGGCGGCCGGGGACAATGACTATTTTTGGATGATTTGCGAAATTGTTTGGTTGAAATCGGAACGAGGCGATGTCGTTAGAACACAACTTAACTAGCACTTGAGCAAGGGGTAGACGATGTCGACGACGGCGGCGGCTGGGACGAATGTGATACGGAAGAATGGGGTTTGAAGAAATTGGAAACTCAAACGAACATTGCAAGCATCGACGCATTCTGTGGAGGCTAGCGCTCGATCTCACGCGTTTACCTCCATAGAATGGGCGCGTATGCAAAATGGAGCGATGACTTCTTTTCAAGAACCACATGTGAAAAGGGCATACAAACGTTTTGTAAACAAACCTTTGTAGGCCCTTTTCTCGCCAACCGAGGATCGCCTATGCAAACCAATACCACCACCGGGAAGGGGAAAGTTTCCCCTATCCGGTGGTGTTGATGGTTTGCGTTAGTGTCATGTGGGTGGCGAGAAAAGGACATTAGAAGGTTTGTTTACAAAAGGCTTGTTTGTCCTTTTCGCATGTTGTTCTTGATTCCACAGCTATCGTTCTTTCGTTTATCACCAGTAGAATGGGACGGAATGTTCTAGAAAAGCATGTCACCATCTTTGGAATAAATTTTATTCATTCTAATCTTCGAGTAGTTCCACGCCAAATGACGGAACGATCCGATGTGACCTTCTCCGATTTGCATTAAACTCTGCATAATTGTTTGTTATGGTCAATCATTCACATTTGCGCAAAATTTCGACCATTTAGAATCTCGCAAAAAAAAACTCAAAATGGCGTATTCGAGATTTTTTAATAAATCATAACTCGAAAACGTCACTTCCAATCAAATTGACGTCCGAGACAAAGTTGTAGGAAATCTTTACTTCTTTTCAGGAAAAAAATTCAAGTAATTTTGAGATAAAAAATCTAAAAAATCGAATTAACTTAAATTAAAAAAATACCCTATTAAATATTTTTTGAATAATTTTCATTAAAAGGCTTATTGCCATCTTCTGTGAAATTTTCAAGCTTGACACAAAAATTAACAAAAAATGTAGGACAACTTTTGAACATTTTGTTCGATTATAATTTTTGAAAAATTTTGAACATAAAGCCATTTTTTACACTTCATGTGTAAAATTTTACAAACAAAAATATAAGCAAAAAGTTTAAAAATTGGTATAAAAATTGTTGTTCTATGATTTTTTAGCTTGAAATTTTCACAGAAGATTGCATTTTGCAATAACCTTTTTGTGTGTAAAATACTCAAAAAAATATTGAAAAGTGTGTTTTTTTTTGTTATTCAAGTTTCAATCACGTTTTAAGATTTATTTTATTAGAGACCCTAAATGACTCGAAATTTGGTATCGTGTATAGGGTAGAGAACTACTTCGGCCTAATCGCCCATTTTGGGCCTATCGAGCAGAAAACTTCAAATAAATCCATGATTTCAGAGTTAACAAGTCAATTATGCGTTTGGTACGATACTTTAGTTCAAAAGCTACCGAACGAAGTCAATGAGAACGTTTGGTAGGAAACTTTGCACCCATTATTCCCAAAAACAAAAGAAGCGCTCCGATCGATTCAATTCTTATCTTCATCCGATAGGCCGAAGTGAATTCAATGGCGATTCAATGCGTTAGGCCGAGTTTAGAATCCGTAGGCCGAGTTTGGCGTCAAGAAGCAGTGTTAGACTTTTGATAATATCTCAACGATTGGTTTCTCTTTATCAAATCTACATACGGAAAGGTAAATAAATTTGGAAGCCATCAGTAATAATAACATTCCATTTGGTGCTAAACTGCGCTAGATTAAGAAACACTAAGTGCGGGTTGTGCTTAATAGACCGAAAATGGGGTAGTTAACCCTATTTTTCTAAATTATTTTTTTCAACAACTTTGTCTCAGACGTCATCTAGATTGCAAGTGACGTTTTCGAGATAAGATTTTTTTTAAAAGACCGAATACGCCATTTTGAAGTATTTTGCAAGATTAAAAATGGACGAATTGTAGCTCGAATATGAATGATTGACCATAACAAATAATTACGCAAAGTTTCATGAAAATCGGAGAAGGCCGAGTCTAAAATTAATTTTTGGTATGCTATTTGACCTGGAAATGCTCTATATCAGTCTACTATGGACAAAAGGACAAGTCGACAGTGAGCATGCATAAGGGCGTAAACGCGATGATCGATTCTCTTCGTTGATTTTCTCTTTTGTTAATAACTCGCTAGATTTAACGTTTATCGGTACGTTTGCTGTTGCTTTTGATAGCCAATACAACCTGTTACAACCTGTTACAACCATAGAGGTAACTCTAAGACCAGAAGGTCCCGAAGAAACGTGCTCAACTTTTTGGCTCAGCTCTGGTACTGTTTTCGGTCCCAAGCCAAACGATTCACCCCTCGAAACATAGGAAAATCCACTAACCCCTCATTTTATCTGTCAAACTTTCATAACGAATCAAAACAAACATTGTGTAGTACTAGAATTTTGACTAGAATGGGGTACGTTAATCGTTTGCTTGGGATCAATAGGCTAGTCAAGTAGTGAGCCAATTTAAAATCGTTAGTTTCGTATTGATTGTTGTTACAACTCTGCATTGGACAAATTCTGGAAAATTGTTTCGCTAAGCTGTAGCAATTCAAAGAGAAAATCGATGAAGAGAATCGATCATCGTATATACGCCTTTATGCATGCTTACTGTCGAATTGACCGACTTTTTGGTAACCAAGGTCTGTTTCGACAGGTCAAAAGTCATTCCCGTAAGAGGTCAAATGATATTTCAAAATCATCCATAGGTAGTTCACAAACAAGCTTAAACATATTTTTAAATACTTTTCAGGGACGGTCTTGGATCCAAGGAGCTTTTGGATTATACCATCTACCATACAGCTCATCATCATTTGTTTGTAAACAAAGGTGCAACCGATAGCTACACCATGAATTTTTTCGGTGTTTGGCGGTGTAGCACCGGTGTAGCTACACCGCAAAAACGAAAACGACATTAGACTTCTAGAAGATCCCAAAGTCTTTGCGAAAAGATTTAACGATCTCAGCGTCTTTTTGATGCACATTTGTGGAACGATCAAATAATATTTTGAATGTATTGAGAAGTCTCTAAATATGCAGATGATGATTTGTCAGGAAGTTTTACAATAAGCGTAAGTCGTCCAGAGACCACAAATAAGAAGCTAATTGTCGTGACTTAAATTTTTAAACAAATCCCGCAGTATCACATCCTTCCATCTTCCGTCGACACCCAACATAGTCACTGCTAACGACGTACAGGTTGCAAGTCAACATTCGTCAACAGGAGAGGAACACCTATGTCACACCTAACAACAGTCGAGTTCAGTTACAACACAGGACACAAAGTAAACAAAAACAAAGATGTTCGGGCAAAAACCTTCGTCACGATCACTTTGGCCGTCAGCTGACCCTTGCCGGACTTCGGCTTGTAGATGATCACTTTCGTCACCGGAGGCCCCTCGTGTTTCGGGTCGATCACCTCCTGGAAGGAGATCCCCGACACGGGAATATCCTTCAGAGTGAGCTCCCCGTTGGGGCCGCTGCCTTTGAAGGTCGCCGGAGGTTCCACCTTCGGCGTCGGCTTGACTTCCGGAGCAGCAACGGCAACGGCAGGCGTAGCACTGCTGCTGCTGGTGCTGCTACTTCCGGTGGTGTCTTCTTCGGAAGCCGAAGCCGACGACGACGACGTCCGAGGTTCCGGCGAATGGGACCGTTTGGCGTGGTTCGGATCATGCTGGGTACTGCTACCGTTGGTCGTTTTTCTCACCGGGGAAGGGATGGCTTGCTTACGAATTGGACCGGAAGTACCGTTGGATTTTGAAGCAGTCGCTGCTGCGGGTGGGTCGACGACCTTGATCGACTTTTTGGCCGTTTCGCTGCCGCTGGTCGCCTTGGCCAGCGCTGACGACGATCCATTGATCTGCTGCTGCTGTTGCTGCGGTTGACAACAGAGAAGGACACTTTTAGCCGAACGTCCGTCACAGTGATGTTAACAATCAATGGGCAATGGGATGGGACTATGTACTACCACTTTCGCTGCTGGAAGCTTCACGGCTGCGGCCGTTGCGGACATAGCTCGGCTTCTTCGTTCTCTTCGGTCTCTTCTCCGCTTTCGACTATTTGCACTTCAATAAGATAGAACTGCTCTTGACCTCAAATCTCACGGGGAACTACTGCGCAAGGGGACGACGGATCAACGGAAACGGAAACTTTTGCTTGCTTTGCCTTTGTCTTCTTCTGCGTGGTGGATTCTTCGCTTCACTCACTCACTCATTCACAGCGAAACAGCAGTGGTTTTATAGAGGGATACAGGACTTTTTTTTCTTTTGAAACGGGCAACACTCACACTCACAAAACCACCGAAACCACCGAGCGATCACTTCGGTTTCTTCTTCTTTGTCTTCTTCACTTGCTTCACTGTAGTATCATCTTCTGCTTCATTGAGTTATGGTTTGATCCGGGGTGAATTGATTTCCGTGAATCCTTTGAAACAACGGGACCCGAATTCAATCAATCACCAGCCGACGGCGACGACGGGCGACAATCACTACTTGTTGGACCGCGCAATCACAAGTAGTTGTTTTCATTCTGCGCGGTCAACACACTCACACAAACATACACACCGACCGATGGATGGCCGTCGTCGATTGTCGATCAGTACGGTCGGTCGCTAGTTGGGCCGAGAGACGTTTGCTAAAAATACCAATGACACGAAAAGTTGGAAAGAATGAAACGCAAATGAACGAACGGCGGAAAAGCCGAGAAAAGCGACGAAAAGCGACCGAAGTTGAGCGCTACCTACTACATTAATGTGTTGATTGGGAAGAGCATCAGACGACCCTCTCTCACGCTGCCACCGATTGAGGGATGGTCAGTAAGGGTCGTGCACAGAATGCGACTGCCAGGGTTGAAGAAGTATCGAGTTGGACCGAGTATCGTTTGAATTTCTGAAATCGGTTTAGGAGTGATCTTCTTTATCGATTTTTCCCATAGCAAGGAAAATTCGACTTCCCAACTTTGATTTTAAGCATTCAAACGATTGGTGAAACCATGAACTGTTTCCTAAAATATTATAAATAATTAGAGAAGATCTGCTCAAACGAAAAAATCGATACCAGTAAAATTGAGACTCCCCCACCCCACGACTACATCCCTGGATCGTGAAAATCTGTACGATCGTAAAAAAAAAGGTGGAAAGATTTTCGATCTCGCGAGAGTGCGAGAATGGAATCGAAGAAAATGAGAAAAACCTGCGTGGGAAAATGTGCCACCGAACGCCGACTAACTACTACACCAAGCTCCCAACCAACACAACCTGGATGATCGTGTCGGTGGCGTCAAGGTTTCCACATGTGACACTCGTGACATCGTCACCAAGTTTAGTTGGCTGTAGCGAAACTGCACAGCGCAACTTTTGAACTACTTTTTTCATTTGTTTGCTATAATTCATTGGAGAAAGAAAATGAATCTTTTGGGGAGCGGCACTACAATTGAATAAATAATGACAACCCGTATAAGTAACAACAACAACAACAACCCGATCAACACGAGCAGAAACGCTTAAGTAATTTTGGTAAAAATAAACCATTCGTCGTCGTTCGATGAATGTGTATTTTCTTACGGCGGGTGTCTTATTTTGATCCGGACGCCCGTCGAACGCACAGTGGTCGTAATTGCGATGAAAAAAAGCGAATGCGCCATTTGGGCAACACTGGGATGCACTCTGTTCAGGCCAAGGTGACAATTTTATTTCCGTTTTGAAATTACAGATTTTTTTGACTGGTTTGTTGGTCGAATAATTCCGGATTTTATAATTCATGAATTCAGTTGGGAAAACAACGAAATGGTCTGCAAAAATTGCATAAAAGGCCACCAAAATAACCTTCAAAGATTATTTGAAAAGCACCAAAATGGTCTATGGAACCCTTAAATTGCCTCATAAACTACAACATTTCCAAAACAGCCCCCAACAAATTACTACACTGGTCTCAAAAGTGCTGAAAACGCTCCAGATTAAGCTCCGTACTCCATAAAACTTTGCCCAATCATTCGCTAAGGGGAATCGTTGAACCGTTTCAGTCCCAATTATTATTATTACGGAACATTTCAGGTTTAATAGTACAAAAACAATGAAGTATCAGAAGAAAAAAAAAATTTCTTGGGATGATCTTGGACATCCAAATTGGTCTGAAGTTTAGACCTTTATCTTTAAAGGATCTACAGAGACTCACAGGAGATGTTATACAATGATATGTTTTTAAAAAGACATCACAGAGCCTAGAAACACACCATATGAAATCAAAAACACAAAGCATAAACGAGGAACTATAAGATCTTCAAATCATCCTGAAGAATTGGTCTTGAAGTTCTGCATGGTCAATTAAGTTTTTCTCGATGTCCCGACTAAATGTACGACTCCAGAGAGCTTTGTAAGAGCTCATTAGTGGAGTTAACAAAATCAGTGTGTTAACAAAATATCTCAGATACTCCAAATCATCCTGAAGTTCAGATCTTGATGTTCTATAGACTCAACGGGATTTTTTACGGTATTCTGACTAAATTTTGACATTTGTAGAAGCCCCCTTATACCATGTGGGATATACAGTTGAAATTACAAAACATCACGACTCCTCCAAATTATCCTAAAGTTAAGATCTTGAAGTTTTACAGGCTCATCCAAAGTATTGTACGATGTCCTGACTGCTTGAATCCATGGACAGGGTGGCCAGTGAATTTTCATTTTGAAATTCCCGGTTTTTCCCGGTTTAAATCTTAAAAAAAATCCCAGTTGTTAATATTAAACAAAAAAATCAAATTGAACGCATTTTTAAGAACGCTCTGAAAGGAATTTACTGAAAGGACAAAAAAAATGTGATTTAAGAAGATTCCCAAGATTCTGGGGCTTTAAAATTTGAGCAGTGTCTGAAACTAGAACTTTTTTTTTCAAAATTTGTGATTAATAACAATGCAACGTGATGCAAGATTTGGAGTAAAAATAATTGAAATGTGAGATTTTGAAAAATTTTCAAGATCACAGATATGAAAAATTAAATAAATATCATACTTATGAGTCGTGGAGTCCTAATTGTCACGCTCGGAGACTTGGAAGCATTTTAAGGGTTATAACAAATTACATAACAATCTATAGAATCTAGCGGAAAAACCCTGGAATTTTTAGCAAATTTTAAAACAAATATTGAGAAAAATTCCCACACAGTTTTCGAAGGAAAAGTTTTGAGCAGATTTCCAGAATTATTCTGACATGAAAACCCTAGTTATTGTTAGATGAATTTGGAAGGATTTTTGTGGAGAAGAATGAAAATTCTAAAATAAATTGTTAGATAATTTAAGAAGATTTAAAAAGGAGTTGTCAAAAACATTGCGGAAAATTCCTACGTGATTCTGATGAGATTTGTATGGGTATCGTGAAGAAAATTAGAGATGAATTTTAAGAAGAATTCCAAGAGAATTATGATCTGAATTCAACAAGAAACAGAGTTCTTAGATTGTGCTGGCAATTATGTCAACCCTAGTGCGAAAGATTCATCACAGAACTCCAACAAAATTTATTGCAAAAAATTCTGATAATTAGAAAGAAATTCTTTAAAATACTCCAGGGGTTCCTAAATCAAATTTCGAAAGATTTCTGCTGTTTCTGCATTCTTAGAAGGGGTTGCAAGGAAATTCCAAAAAGAATTCAACGGCAATTATTACGCGGAGTGTCTTCTGGTTTATTTCAGAACAATTTCAAGATAATTCAGAGCAGAATTCCAAGTTAATTCTGGAATTCATGTAATGAGAATTTTGAACAACGAAAAATTAAACCCCCGGAAAAGAATAATTCAGTTTCGGTTTTTACAAATATTTGTCTCGAAAGTCCAGCATCTTCAATATTTTCTTTTAAGGACCATGCACTTTACATCTGAAATTGAGACGACAAAAATCAATGTTCAATATTGCTGAGTGATTAAATTCTAAAAACAATAACACGGGAAACTGAAGAAAATTATGCAGCAAATAGAGCAAGACATTCATTTGGTAAAGGATAACTCTGTCCTTTTCGCGCTAACTGACGTAGGAGGAATTGCAAAACTTAACTAATTCCAGCTGAACATTGCGTTAGGTTCTAAGTAACATTGATCGATTCTCTTCGTCGACTTTCTATTTCGTTAATAACTTGAGCACATAACCATTTCTGTTTTGTGTTTGTCGTTTTCGATGCTAGATAAAAGCTTCTATTATCGATCTGTGTGCTGAAAATACTTGGGAATGTATTTACATGACCGTGGAGATACAAAGTACAGGGTGTCTGCTACCTGAAAAAAACCTGGAAAACCGGGAATTTACAGGGAATTTTATTTTTTCTGGAAAAACCTGGAATATTCAGGGAATTTTGGTTCCACTCAGGGAATTTTCCAATTATCACTTCATTCGTAATTCAAAAGAAGTTTTTCGTTCAGTTCCTCGAAACGTTTCTTAAGGACACTGAACTTGACAAGCATCTGACAGCTAAGCCAACGTGTGCGAACGAGACAAGTTCATTCAGAGAGTCTTGTCACGCTCGCTCTTCGCTGATTTGTATGTGAAGGATCAAAATCGTCGTAAAAAGGAAACAGCCGAAAAAGAGAGACTGGCAACCGTCAAAAGGAAGCATACGAAGCATCTATTGTATAAGAATAAGCATGCCAGACAGCAGGTCTGAGACCCAACATAGAATTTTTTTTGAACTGAGCTTCAGGGTAGTTCGTAGATCTTGAGAACAGATCTACAAACAAATTAAAAGTTATTAACAGAAATTCATAAAAACAAAATCACAAGAGAGGTCGTAGATCTTCAGATAAATGTTCAAAGAAATTTTCAAAACTTCAAGCAAGCAAAAATAATTTCACTAACTATAAGCGAAATTTTACAAATCTTCAGGGAAATTCGCATAACTTCAGACAAGTCCAAGAATCTACAGTGAAATATAAAGTATTTCACAAAAGTTTGAAGATCCTCGAAACATTATTCAACATCAGAAAAGTTCGTACATCTTCAGAACAAAGCTACATAACTTTGAAAAAAATTACAGGACTTCAGAAAAAATCACAAGAATCTCAGAAATGTTAATGGATGTTCAGTAAAAATTGCAGAACTTCAGGGATTAAAAAAAAATATTTACACGATTTCAGGAAAATTTGTAGATCTTGAGTGAGACATTTAAAACTTCAAAGAAGCTCAAATATTTTCAGATAAATTTTGACAACTTTAGGAAATCTTCAAGGAAATTTTCAAATCTTCAGGGTAACCCTAGAGGAATTTACAAAACATCAGAGAAGTTTGCAGATCTACTGAGAAATTTATTGAGCCTCAAGTTTTTTTTTTGTAGATCTTGGGAATAGAGCTACGGAGCTTAAGAAAACTTTACAGAACTTTAAAGATATTTGCAGGAATTTGACAGAAAGTTTCACAGTTTCACACAAATGTGAGATCTTCAGAAAAATTCGTTAAATGTCAGAAAAGCACCTCAATTCCAAAAACAAATCGCAGCGAAGTACAAAAGTACAATATTTTGCAGAACTCCATGGAAGTCGGAAATAGATAGATCTAAAGAACTTCAGAGAAGTCCGTAGACCTTAAGAGAAGTCTGTAGAACGTCAGAAAGTTCGTACGTTTTTAGAAAAATTTGCAAAACTTCAGCAAAACTCACAGATCTTCGGGAAAGTTCGCCGATCTTTAGATCAAGATTCCACAAAGAAATTTAAAGAACTTTAGAAAAGTTCGGAGATCTACTGTGAAATTTATTGAACTTCAGGGCAGTTCGTAGAACTTTAGGGCAGAAATACAGAAAACTTTACAGAATTTGAAATGAATTTTAGGAACTTCAGAAAATTTCAGAGGGTAGGTCGTAAATCTACTCAAAAATTAGCAGATGTTTAAATAAATTTTCAAAATTTTACTGCGGTTCTTGGATTTTGAAAGACAT